ATTTTCCATGTCCAGCCGACCCTCTGTTTGTGTTTTCTTCTTTGCCTCCATTTCAGTTTTCAAGTCTTGAACTGTTTCCATTATCTGTTTGATTGTTTTTACTTGGTTTTCTAGGGTATCATTCACTGATTTATTCAATTCTTCAAACTTTCTCATCCATTTCTATAAGGGCGTTCTTTACATGATGTTTAAGGGGATCAATCACTTTCATAAAGTCAATTTTTTCTACTTCTTGATTAAGGTGTTCATGTCCTCCTGTTGTGAGGTCGCTGGTTTCTGGTGGTTTCATGTTGCTTTTCAGATTGTCGGGTGAATTCTTGCATTGGCGCATTCCCATCTCTTCCTCTGAATGCTCCCCTATGGATCTTCTTTAATAGGATCAGGTCTTCTTGCCTACTGATGTACCTTTCCAGTGATGGCTCTCCCCAGTGATAGCTCTCCTGGTGCTGAGATCAGATCTCAGTGCCCAATGATGACTCTCCCCAATACTGGCTCACCTGGCGCCAAGAGCAAGTCTCCCTGCTGGTTGGGTAGCTCGTAAACAAAGTGCCTGCCTTGCTTGGTGCAGGCAGGCTATTGAAACAAAGGAGCTCCCACCCGCCTGGGTACCCTGAGGATTCGGACCCAGCGCCCAGACAGGCTGAGTTGGGTGATGTTATGTGCCCAAACAGGGCAGAGGGGCAGAAGGAGGGGGAGGGTTCTGGATGCAAGCTGGGTGAGATAGGAAGAAAGAGGCAGTATGCAGGGAGTAGAGGCCCTGCAGAGAGCCCAGGAAGGATAGGGGGTTGAGGAACTTCTGAGTTCCCTGTCCCGGGCTGATGCCTCGGGGTCAGAAACTCACCCCAGTGCTGGCTGGCTCTCCTGGTGCTTAGATCAGGTCTCCATGCTGGTTCTAGCTGCAATTTTTTTTTACATAGGCTCTGTTTGTTGGCCACAGCTCCTTTAAGAGAGGTCTTCCTGATTTAGTGGTAGCAGAAAAATATGCATTGTTTTGAAATGGTGAAAAAGACAAGATCTCCTGAGTGACTTGAGAGCATGGGGACCTTGGGGGAAGCCTGAAGCGGGTAGGGGAGAGGCAGGGAGGGGAGCAGAGAAAAATGTAGAGTTCAGTAAAAATCAATAAAAAAGAACAAAAAAGTAAAATAAAAAGACAGAGTACAAACAGTCATAGATTTAAAAAAGTAAAGAAAATTAAGATAGATAAAGATGGAATATATACAGAGAATTTAGATTAGGTATGTTATTGTGTTTTCTTTCTTTTCTTTTCTTTTCTTTTCTTTTCTTTTCTTTTCTTTTCTTTTCTTTTCTTTTCTTTTCTTTTGACTTCAGAGAGATATTTTATTCCAGCAGTTTCTAAGTTAAACCAACAAAGAAGTATCTTGATTTTAAAAATTTGTTCTAAGAATTTGTTGCTTTGGAAAAGAGGTTCTTCTCTTGTTTCCACAGTCATTGAGAAAGTGTGGATTAATTCCAGACTAATGTGGTTTTATGGACGAAGACCTCCAGAAAGTTTTTATGAACACCCCAAAAAATTAATCCACCCAACAAAAAGCAGAAAGCAGCTTGGAGAGAACTACACCCAAATTCTCTAAGTGATATTTATAAATGTTTGTTTACATTTAAAAATATGCCATGGAGATTTGCATTGATATAGATCTTGGATTACTGGTGCAAATTTAAGTTCAATTTTGTTATATGTATATTTTTTCTTGATTAAGGTATTTTGTTTGTGTAGCCCATTTAAATATATAATGTATAATTAAGAAGTTGGATGTCCCAACCATACAGAAAATCTTTGGGTAACTGTCCAGGTAGTGAGATATCACTGTCAATTCTAGAGTTTTGTAAGTTGCTTAAAATGCACTTCCTGTTTACTGATAATATTATAAATTATTTAGAATAATCAAGAAACATTAGTTATTAGTTAGCCATTTATAACAATAAAATTTGTAGATATGCTAAGCATATTTTCTATATCATACAGAGAAAAATCTTAGATACATGCACTGTCTTTAAGTACCTTAAAAACTTGCAAAATATGATTTGTGTGGGAAAGCCTATATATGTGTTGTTTTTATTGGTTAATGAATAAACCTGTTTTGACCAGTGGCTTAGCAGAATAGAACAAGGTGAGATATAGGAGGAAATATATAGGAGGAAAGAAGGTGGAGTCAGTGAGATACCATGTAATCACCTGAAGAAGACAGTTGCCAGAACTTTGCCAAGTAAGTCACATCTTGGCAATAAACAGATTAATAGAAGTTGGTTAATTTAAGATATAAGACCTAGCTAGCAATACATTTAAGTGATTGGTAAAGCAATAATTTAATTAATATAGTTTCTGAGTGATTAATTGTTTAAATCATGTCTGTTTGTCTGAGAAATGAACAAGCAGCTTCTGCCAACATATGATATTTAAAATACCGTGTTAACAGAATTTTCATGGCAATGAGACACATCTGCTTTGGCAACACCACTTTACTTTATAAAAGGATGATTGATTTCATATAAACTCTATAGAAACTCTATAAAAGTTTGCATTCATTGTGCCAAGATTAACCACAGGACAAAGAAACAGTTTTTGCCTTCACAAATTGACTATGGGCTATGTAGACTGAACATGTAGGACCCAAAGGAAAGTGACTGCTGAACTTTGCCAAAACAGGGAGGGCAGTCATTCAAACTTTCTTCTTCCCAGAAGAGTCTGCCAGATATACTGCAAGATACTAAGGAAGGTAATTGCTAAACTTTACCAGTGCAACGAAGGATAATCCTTCAAATTTTTGTTTCACTGAAAAGTATGCCTGATAATCTAGATGTGTAGATTAAATATGCCCCAACACTTCAGAGAAACTTTGGGTGACTGTATGAGCAGCCATGTGTCTTTGTCATTTCTAAAGTCTTGGAAGATGCTTACAATGTACTTTCTGTTTATTTAGCTAATATTAATTCCTTCTAATATTAATTCCTTCTGCATCTTTGATGGAGTTGAAGACTAGATATAGTTTCAGTGATCTTTAATTGTGAAAGAAAGAAAGAAAGAAAGAAAGAAAGGTAAAAAAAAAAAAACTAAGGATTCACTAAGAAAAGATAGGTAATGTAGTATTTTCTCTGAAATTGTTTAATGCAATTGAACTTGGCATTGTGAATATAAGTATTACCTGTATATATTTGTATATACTTATTGTACTTATTATATATAGTTTTCCTATGCTAGTTAAAACCTTTTATTTTTATCTAGACAAAGAGGGGAAAGTGTTGGCCCGCCGGCCTGCGCCATGGGCTGCCTCTTTGGGCGCGCCGTGCTGCAGGCGTTGTGCGGGCCACGCATTCCAGGCCTGCTGGTGCGCCCCAGTTACGGAGGGCCTTCCTGGCCCCAGGAGCGTACCCTGGTTGCGGTGAAGCCAGGTGGGGTGCAGCGGAGGCTCGTGGGGACTGTGATACACAGCTTTGAGAGGCGGGGCTTCAAGCTGGTGGGGATGAAGATGTTGCAGGCACCAGAAAGCATCCTTGCTGAGCACTACCAGGACCTGCAGAGGAAGCCATTCTACCCAGCCCTTATCAGCTACATGAGCTCTGGGCCCGTGGTGGCCATGGTCTGGGAAGGGCACAATGTGGTCCACATCTCAAGGACCATGATAGAACATACTGACTCAACCGAGGCAGCCCCAGGGACGATCAGGGGAGATTTCAGTGTTCATATCAGCAGGAATGTCATCCATGCTAGCAATTCTGTGGAGGGTGCCCAGAGGGAGATCCAGCTGTGGTTTCAGAGCAGTGAACTGTTGAACTGGGCAGACGGCGGTCACCACAGCAGCTGCAGCCCAGCCTGAGGGTTTGAACTGCCCACTGTTCTTCAGGGTTCATCCATGACCAACTACCTCTGCCAACAAGAACCCAAGCCCATACCCTTCCCATCTTCCAAACCACACCCTGTCCACCTTTTGTCCAACTCCATCCCAGTGGAGTCCAAGCCTCAACTTTATGTGCCTTGTATCCTAAGCCAGCACCAATATTGGATCATATCCTTCTATACCTAAGTGCCAGACAACCTTTTGGACATTGTCAGAGGTGATTTTGCCTGCCCCAGAGGAGAGACATTAAAATCTTCTGCTTTTTTTTTTTTTAAAAAAAAAGGGTGGGGGAAAGTGTTGTAGATTATTATTTTAATATGCATTACATTTACTTATGCTATAGTTCATTTATTTAATGATGTAAAGTTGTGTTGCTGTTATTTATGGTGCATTTGTTTAACTCTGTGAAGCTTTGATTCTTTTCCTATATAAAACACCTGATAGTCTAAAAAGAGCCATTACCAAGACAGGAAAAAGGATAGACAGGGCTGGCAGACAGAGAGTATAAATATAAGGAAAAAAATCTGGAAAGGAGGAATGAGACAGAATAAGGAGAGTATAATGCTAGGGGTCAGCTATCTATCCACCCAGACAGGCATGGAATAAGAGTGAAAGTAAGATATACAGAAGTAAGAAAAGGAAAAATTCCAGAGACAAAAGGTTGATGGGATAACTTAAGATTAAAAAAAACAAAAACAAAAACAAAAACAAAACAAAACAAAAAAACTAACTAGAAGCAAACCAAGCTAAAATTGAGCATTTCTAAGTAAGAGTAAGCCTCCACATGTGCAGTTATTTGGGAGCTCAGAGGTGGGGCCCCCACAAGAGCAAAGAGATAAGCCACAGAATAAAATAACCAAACACATTTTGACATCACATTGTGGGACTAGAGTAAAAGAAAATCCAACAATAGCATAGTTTAAGGCTTCATTAGAATTTCTTCAAATGTAACAAGTATTTTCAAATTACTGCTTTTATTTTGGAGATTATAATACATTCTACTCATTTCCTCTTTTCTTTTTTCCCTTCCAATGCTTCCATATTCTCCTCCTTGAACAGTTTTAATACATCATGATTTTATGAGTATACTCACCACCATTATCTCCCTTTGCTCCCTTTAATACCCATCTCCTTACTTCTGAACTTAGCTTCCTTAGCCTACTTCCCTTTCTGTGCTAATGTCATATAGATAGATAGATAGATAGATAGATAGATAGATAGATAGATAGATAGATAGATAAATAGATAGATTAGATAGATATAGGTAGATAGATATAGATAGACAGATGCATTATATATCTATATAACATAGGATCCACTAACAATAATAAATGTTACTTTTGGCTTTTTAATTTTTTCCTCAAATCATTTAGTAGATTAAATTTTATTTAACACAATATTCAGTTGAATTCCTTTTTAAGAAAACACTGGGATTTTATTTTTCTGATTACAAAGTCAAACTCCATTATATGCATGCATAATAAATTTTTGTTACCCATTTTTCTATTGACAGGCTCACAGTCTGATTGATTAACGTATCATTATGTGGATAATGAAACAAGCCTAAATATTCAGTTATCTTCAGGATATGTTGACTTGGAGTTGTTCATTTATATAGCAAGCAGTGTCCAAATTCACCCATATAGTAACTATGTCTTCATTTATTTATTTTTACAAAAATTCAATACAGATTTCCATAGTTAGTGAGCTAATTTAAATAGTAAGTAGCAGTGTATACTGGATTCCTTTTGTCTACATTCTCAAATGCACTTGTTTTCCTTATGACAACAATTCTGAGTGATTGGGTCAACAGAATCTAGTGGTATTTTTAATTTGAACTTACCAGATGTAACAGTAGGTTGTTTTTTTTTCTCATTTGTACTTTATTTTTTAAGAAGTATATGCTAGCAACATTAGCCCATTTATTAACTAAGTTATTTTGTTTGGGTTATATTTTTATTTTTTTACATATTCTGGCTGTTACTTATCACTTGATGAACATACAGCAAACAAAGATTTTTCTTCTTCTTTATCAGATCCCTCTTCACTGGATGGTTTTCCAATAATATACAAAATTATTAACTTATTTACATACCAACAGTGAACATGCTGTGAATGATATCAATGAATAATCCCATATACAATATCTTAAATAAATTTCTTGCAGACAGAACTGGTAAATTTATGCCAGCCAAAGGAGGTGACTCTCCTGTCTGCCAGTGGATCTGCTCCCCCAAGTCCAATTCTGTTTCTCTGAACCATTCCCTAGGCCTTCACCTTCCAAGTTCAATATCAGCCCCACTGCTGTGCCCTGTCCCAAACCCCAGGCAACATCTACCACTTAGGTGCAGACAATACCAGTCAGAACAGGCAAGTAAACTGCTTGCCTGAGGAGCTGAAACCCCCATCCACTAGTCCTGTTTCAAGGACCATTCTCATAGCCCATGCTGTCCCATCTCAAGGCAAGCCTATCTACTGGGCCCTGCCCCAACTGCAGGTAACTTGTGTCATTCAAGTTCAGGCCACACCTGTCAGAACAGGGGAAAGTCACAGTAACCTGAAAATACTTCAACTGCTCTAGAACAGACCACACCAATCAGAAAAACAGACACCCACAGTTTTAATAAAGCCAAGCTAACCACCAGAAGACTGACTCCCAACATCAACAGAGACTCCTTAATAGATCATAGGTCACACCAGGCACTAGAAGTATAAACCATAATAACTAGAAAATGAAAGAGGACTCTAAACAAGGATGAGAACTAATTATTCCAGACACATAACAAAGAAGCAGTATTAAAAGCTGCAAGAGAAAGCAGCCAAGGAACAAGTAAAGGTAGAACTGTGAGAATTACACCCAATATCTCAATAGAGATTCTAACTATCAGAAGTGTTGAAATAGGAGCAGCAGCGGGACTGCGTCCCCAACACCTTGGCCGCTTGGCTAGCTTATGCCCGAAATAACAACACACAAACTGTATTCATTTAACGGCTTGACCCATTTCTATCTAGCCTCTTCTAGGCTAACTCTCGCACCTGGACTAGCCCATTTCTAGTAATGTGTGTAAGCACCCCAAGGTGCGCTTACCGGGAAGATTCTAGCCTAAGTCCATCGTGGGTTGGAGCTGCCTGGGAGAGCGAAGCCTGGCGTCTCTGCTCCAGAGAGCAGAGCTGTCTGGTCTCTCCGGGAGCAGAGCAGAGTCTGACCTCACTTCCTCTTCTGCCCAGAATTCTATTCTGTTTACTCCTCCCACCAATGCTTTAACCTATGAGGCCAGACAAGCAGTTTCTTTATTGCTCAATGACCTTCCTCCATCACAGAAAAATCTATGAGACCACAGATGCCATCCCTGATTGAAATACCCAAAAAAATTTTCAATCACCATAAACGGAGAAAAGAAGACAGTTCATGGTAAAGTCAAATTTAAATAGTGCTTATCTACATATACAGCCCTAAAGAAGATATTAGGAGGAAAACTCCAACCAAAAGAAGTTTTCTACATCCATGAAAAGATGGGAAATAAAAAATCTCACAACAGCAAAATCTAAAGAAGAGAAATGTTCACATGCATGCACGTGTGTGTGAACACACACACACACACATATTCTCACCACCGAAACAACCAGAAATAAACAGTGCTCATTATTATCTTTCAAAATCATTGGACTCAATTTGCAAATAAAAAGAAAAAAGCTAACAGAATGTGTATGCCTTCTAGAGCTGTCCTTCTGCTGCATACAAGAATCACACCACAACATCAAAGATAGAAATAAACTCAAAGTAAATTGTCAGAAAATTATTTTCCACTCAAATGGACCAAACAAGAAAACGATCCTAATATCTAACAAAATAGACTGCAAACCAAAAGAAATCAAAAGAGATTAATTAAAGAAAAAATCTGCCAAGATGATATTTCAAATCTGGACACATACGCCCCAAATGCAAGGGTCCCCCACATTTGTAAAAGAAACATTATTAAAGCTTAAATCTCATATTGAACCATATACATTAATAGTGGCAGACTTCAACATCCCACTCTCACCAATGGTCAGGTCATCCAGTTAGAAACTAAACACAGAAATAATGGAACCTTAAGACTTAAGAACTTAAAACTTAAATGGAACTAATAAATATCCATAGAACATTTCACCCAAATGCAAAAGAATATTCCTTTTTATCAGTAGTTTATGGAACATTCTCCAAAACTAAATACATAATCATTCACAAATCAAGTCTCAACTGATAAAACAAAAGTAAAATAATCCTTGTGTTCTATCAGACCACCATCGGTTAAAGTTGGATTTCAAAACCTACATAAATTAAAAAGAATTCTACAAATGCATAGAAACTGTACAATTCTCAACTGAATTACCACTGGATCAAGAAAGAAGTTAAGAAAGGAATTAAAGACTGCCTCTAATCCCAGGAAAATTAATACAAAACATATCCAAACCTATAGGACACAATAAAAGCTGTGCTAAAAGAAAAGTTCATAACTCAAAATTCTACATAAAGAAATTAGAGAATTCTCATGTCAGTGAATTCAGTAACTCTGAAAGATCTAGACCAAAAAGAAGGCAAAAATAACCAAACTGAAGGCTGAAATCAATAAAATTGAAATAAATAGAAAAATAAAGAATTGGTGATACAAAAAACTGTTTCTTGGAGAAAGTCACCAAGATAAGCAAATACTTGTCTAAGATAACTAAAAGCCAAATTGAGAATGCTTAAATTAACAAAAATCAAAATGAAAAAGGGGACATCACAACAAACACCAAGGAAATCCAAAGAATCATTAGATAATACTTTTAAAATATATATTCCACAAATTTGGTAAGTCTAAAAAAATGAACAATTCTCTAGAGAGATACCATTTACTAAAGTTAAATTATGATCAGATAAACAATTTAAGTAGACCTATAAATTGCTAAGGAAATCAAAACATTCATTACAATTTGCCCAACAACAACAGAAACAAAAACAAATAAACAAACCAGAGCCAGGAGATTTTAACCCAGAATTCTACCAAGCCATCAAAGGAGAGCCAATACCAATACTCCTCAACTTATTCCACAAAATAAAAGCAGAAGGAACATTGCCAAATTCATTTTATTAAGCCATAGTCACCATGATAACCAAAACACAC